ACTCGTCACAGTTCGCTCAAAATTGTAATTAAATGACAGATAAATGCACAGAAAAACGCACTGGATAACAGTAGTGTAAGCAGACGAAGAAGAAATGACAACTTAGTGTTAGTATCGCTGTTTTGCACTATACCAACACGATCGCATTCAAAATCGTCTTCAGAAGATGGGACTGTTCCTCAGTCAACTTCACTAGGTCAGCATTATGAGTTTCAGCCAGCTGTCCAATGCCCCGTGACAGAACCACCAATCCGAATTCATCCAGCTTCAATAATCTTAAGGAAAAGACCAAATTCATCAATCAGTCAATCACTCAATCAATCCGTCGATCAATCAACACGTTGATCAAACAGTCAATCGGTTGATGTGTCAATCAGCACGACAGTCAGTCAACACAAACACACATGTCATGCGAATAGGTTTTTTATACATCCTTCAAGTTTATATCGAACTTATAACATCTGGGTCGAATTCCTTAGCAATCTCTTTCGGCGTGGACTTTTCTTGTGACTCATTATTCTTCTTTGTAATTACTGATAATTTGGAGCGAATCATTTTGGAATAAATAAGTTGTGACATAGTTATGCTTCAGATGAATTCATATCCAATGTTGTTTTTCCTCATAATGCCGCTACTTCGTGTGACGCTTTCTGGTATGCTAGCATATAAACAACGCATGACTGAAGGAAATAATTCAAATAGCGGAGGCTGGTACGTGTGATCTCGACAAGATGCGCTGCACTAGACGAGGAGCTACTGCTCACAGTAAAAATAGACTCAAGGTTACACAGACACAAATAGCGATGGTTTAAGACAGATGTAATCAGCACACAAAAAGCATCAAAGAAATAATAGTTACGAGAAAAGTAGAAGCATGGTGAAACGATGAACGAACGAAGGGGAAGAATACAATAAAACATAACACATGATAATAGTCCATGAACTAATGCTGGACGTTACCATGACAGTCAGTAGGTCAGTTAGTTCAATGATCTGTCAGCAACTAAATAAATAAACAAATCAGTCAAACAACCAACAGACACTGCACAGTAACACATCTCTTGTGAGCGTATGTAGGAAAAGATATGCACAGCACTTGATGTTATGCAACATAATGTGAACCTACCGAAAGCAACTCCAGTAGTAGTTGATGACGGGCTGGTCATCAGCACAGTCGATCTTGTAGTCATCGTCTCCGTCGACGTGGTCCTGATCGGCTGCCTCGATTCTGTCGACACACTTGTTTCCGTTTGTCCGAGACCGTCAGTCGACGTCACAGTGCTTGTTCGTGGACCTGTTGAGTTAAACGGAAAACACATGTAGTTGTATTCATCGTTCAGAAATATCTTCCTGTCAGCTTCCATACAGGACTACGGCGGTTGATATTTCGACCATCTAATTATTGTTATTCTACTAACAAGATGTTGTTTGTCCGACTCAACAGAACATCAACTCATGCACAACAACACTTCGAATTGCATAGTCTACACGTTTACTTAAGATAGAGAAAACTGAGTCTTCATTGCTGCTCTAAATTCCGGACAGAAGCCAAAACTTCAAATAAGACAACTATCTTTATATAGTGACACTCAGTGACCATAGCACGCATTGCGCAAATGACAACCACAATTCAGGCAGTAGCAAATGTCATTGAAGAAGTGTGAATTCGAAGAATCTTATCTGGGTTATCCTTCGATCGATAAACTAATATGCAATAACAAACACCCATACATACTCATCTCTCCTTAACACACCGATTCACTCTTCACAATTTAGAAAACCTGCACAAATCAATGCTACACAACATGGTCTCACACTACAGAAATGCTACACCGTACATTGTAAACAACAAACAATCGACATCATCAACATTACCACGATGCATGTGACCTGTGAAAGAAAACTGGAGAGTCTCACACCTCCCTATCCATCAGTAAGTCAGTCACTGACTCCACGTATACGTTTTCCATGGTGTATTGATCTCTCTGCTGGATGCTTCCACTACGGGTGTGCACATCCGAGATTGGGAACAGTCGGGTGATAAACAATACTGTCACTGTTCTCCTATCTCAATGGCGCCACAGTCAGTGTCTCGTCTAACTATCATCTCATCTCATCTCATCTCACATCACATCACATCACATCATATCACAACATATCATTGGCAAAATGGGCAACAACAATTGACGACTTACGATATGCTGTGATGTTTCTCAAACTTGGTCCACTCTTGATATTGAGGAGTGTGCATCCACGAACCAGAGTCTCCGTGAGATCAGTCTCAGGTGGTTGTGATCCACGAGACAAATGCAACTGCACACTCACAATTGCTCGAACAGCTTCCATTGAGACACGATTGACACCCGCGTCTGTGTGAGCTTGGCCAACAACGTCAATCCAGATCATGATCCGAATGAACACAACACGGACACAAGTAGCACCTCGAGAGAACTCTTCATTACCCAGACGTAGTCCACTCAATAGCTACAACGTGCAAAACAAAATCACACAGAATACACAATCAGTCGATTAGTCAGTCTCTCGATCCGTCGTTCGCTTGCTCATATATCAACACCACAACTACAATTTTCAATTAGACCGGTGTCGACCAGTGCTCATCATCGCTATCATCATTATGATGACTAACTGCATGACCACCACTTCACAAATGGACAATCATTAACAATCACTGGCTTACTCACTCAACTAACCAACGCTCACACTACCAATGTGAACACCACACTCAATACACCAATTCATCACTACTCGCTTCAATCTCACACTTACATGACCACTAACTCATTACCTGCTCACCTACTTACTCACCCACCACCTACTACTAACTTCTTACCTACTCACTAACTCATTGCCTTCTCACAAACTTACGTTCTCACATACAAACTTCCACGCCTACTTACTAACTCAGTCTGTACATTACACATTCATCAATTTAATTCAAACTATGCCCCCTCTCTCTCTTGGAGATTTCCACTCCCGTCATTTCACAGAACCATTTGTCCACTACACTGGTGTCATTCGAACAATTCACACACTGCTTCTCTGATTATTGCATACCAGTACACTAAGAACACAATAACCATAACCAATGCACACCTACCAGGTCACAAATCGACATCGACAAATTTCTGTACATGACACTTGACTCATTCGACAGATCAGTTGACCAATTCATGGGCACTGACCGTTCTTCAATGTAGACCACAATATCCACCTCGAACACGGAGATCTCTACAAATGGAAAGGAGTGAAACATTTCATATCGATGAAAGTAATCATATTATTATTCATGTCATGAATACTACTACCACTACTACCATTATTATTATTATTATTATTATTATTATTATTATTATTGTAAATATTATGATTATTATTTTTGTTGATAGTGGTATTATTGTCATTGTTAGTAATTTTATTAGTATTATTATCATCACGCTTGTCATTAGCTCTATTATCAGAGTGTTATTAGCATTTACGTCAACAACGATGATAATAGTGCAACAAACTGTACCAACACCTGCATAACGATGTTGATAATCCTGAACATGATGAAGACGATTAGGGGGAAGGATTTAATCACCGAATCGATGTTGGAGCTGGTGGTTGTTAGTATAATCTTGACAAATGTTTTCATTTTACTGGTTTTCTACCACTCGTCACAGTTCGCTCAAAATTGTAATTAAATGACAGATAAATGCACAGAAAAACGCACTGGATAACAGTAGTGTAAGCAGACGAAGAAGAAATGACAACTTAGTGTTAGTATCGCTGTTTTGCACTATACCAACACGATCGCATTCAAAATCGTCTTCAGAAGATGGGACTGTTCCTCAGTCAACTTCACTAGGTCAGCATTATGAGTTTCAGCCAGCTGTCCAATGCCCCGTGACAGAACCACCAATCCGAATTCATCCAGCTTCAATAATCTTAAGGAAAAGACCAAATCCATCAATCAGTCAATCACTCAATCAATCCGTCTATCAATCTTTAGATCGGTGTTTTCCTGTGTTAAATTCACTATTTCAGGATTTTCAGGATCAGCATTTAGTCTATATGTCATGTTCTTTTAGGAATTTTGAATGGTTATCATTATTGAAATGCAAGTTCTGAAGCGCGATCAATGAAATGAAGCTAAACCAATGTACATTTTATCCGAATATAAAATAATTCAAGGGCATGTGATGTGTCAGATGAGACTGCCCATACACTTACATAAACATTTTCAGGTTTAAATGGTGAATAATTAACAAGTTGAAAATGTAGCTTGTTGAGAATGGATAAGTTGTTTTTTCCTGAAGCTGGAATATACTATGTGTTCTCGTCATAGGACCAGCCACTACATAGTACGTGTCATTACGAAGGTTTGACTTGATAATCTCAAAAAAGTGAGCATGAGGTAATTGGTTTTTATTAAAAAATAATATATTTTTAATATCTCAATCAGTAGAAAAATCAAATTTTTAAATTTTCTGACATTTCGTGACTCAGTGTAAGCCACCTCTTCAGAGAATAAATAAAAAAATTAACCCAAATTTAAATAATGCCTTCTATAGATAGATACATTCATTATATTTAGTCTTATAAGTGGAAATTTTTCTTTCATTTCACAATAAATGAATTGGTCTATTCTATTAAATTACGTCCACAGTTATTTTGTGTATTATTACAGTTTACAAGAAATCTTGGTATGTCATGATATTAGCTAGCTCATTTGCTCATCTTCTATCAATTGTCTCTTACATACTTTATCGTTCCGTCATTCCAGCTGTTATTACAATTACTTTCTGTTTGTAATTCTATTCCCCTCGATCTTCTCAACCATCTACTGCCAGGAATTGCACTTCTGATTCGTGTGACATACTATTTATTTCTGCTAACATAAGTAGTATACATCAAACTATTATAATTTATGAACAAATTTATTACTTAATTATTAAAAAATAAACTCAAACTTATTCATAGATTATTTTTTGTTGTTGTCATAATCTACCTTCTAAATTGTCTAATGTGGTATCAGTTGTTGATTTTATCATAGGTGACGTAGTTGTTTGATTGATTTTCATCTTTTCTGTAATAGTCATTATTGGTAATGTTGGAATGGTTTTAAGATCAGTTGATATACCTTAAATATAAATTGAATTGTATAATCTAATTAGTAAAACAAAAACCGAATCCATCTGTATAAAAGTGAACAATTTCTCATTTCTACTTGAAGTAATCCACAGTAAATATATCAAGAAAGAATTACTTTAGATAAGAAATGTATTGGAAATATATACTATTCAGTTAGGTTACTTGGATAGATTGAATTGTGGTTAGTAACATACAATCTATCATGTTACAACTTTAAGTCCAGCTAGTTATCACCTGGTTTACTCACCAAACGAAATACGACTTATTCAATCTTATCACTGTGCCAAACCAATTACGTTCGAACAGTATGAGCAGCCTAGCGTCTTACTGGTCCTTTTTGCGTCTAGACCGTCCAGTTGAATCCAGAACGCCAACAGCTTTCACTATGCAAATAATTTATTTCAAACATACTTAGTTTATATACCAGCCAAACGGACTGCATCACACCATAAAGTAGGAAATAACAAGATCAAGCCAAAAAGTAGCTATGAACATGGGAGACAGTAATTAGTAAACTGAACATAACTTAAGAACAATCAGTCGTGCAATAATAATTCATAGGTCAAAATGAAGCTTATAATAAGAGGAATATAAATATACAAAATCCAGTTACTCAACAATAATACAAATGGAATATATATATATATATATATATATATATATATCATATTAGTCTACTAATAGTTCTGTGAATTTACCCGTAGTTTAATCATCCCTAGGATCCAACATACCACTGTATTAAAAAATTCACTACAACTAGTACACTTAAGTTACTATAGATAGTTTGTTTGGATTGGCAAATATTATTGTTTACATCATGGACAAGTCTTAAACGAACACTGGAAATCAGGAAGCGGTGAACACGCTTCTTGTCATAGTATAGAATTTCGTTTTCAACAGTGTTTATATAAAATATCATCAAGAATCAAACTTGATACTCTATGATCTCACGATGAGTATTTAACCTTGTTTCATATCTGAGTTGGCATCTAAAATCTTACATATTTAGCCTCAATCAATTCTAGATATCATGCAATCATTTTTTAATGCCTAAGGTGACTAACTGCTCTATAACGAACATGGCACTTGATGTGATTAATTTTTGCTTTGGGAGAATAGAAGTGCGCACATTATGTAAACTATCATAGTGAAATGACTATCTACTGCATTTGCCAAACTTTATTTACATTCATAATATGACCTTTCTAATACCATTCCACCAAGATTTAGTGATATGCCTGCTGCAAACTATATGAATCTTACTAAAACTATTTAAGTATTCACAATTGATTGATCATGGCGTAGTGATAAAGATTTCACATATTTCAAGGCGTTCTTAGTGCAGATCGAATCCTATCGACCAAGTTTCAATGTGGCAACTAGTCAATTGTGAATATATCTCAGTCGTACAGGAGGTCAGTCGCGGCCCGGATAGCTCAGTCGTAACGTCTTGGACTGTGAAGCTTATTGAGACAGGATCGAATGTGTCATGGAGCTGACGAGTGTCAAATAGCACAAAACCCGAGTCCAGGGTTTCCTGTTGACTACCTCCAACCACCATCTTACTAGTCAACTGTACTCATTAATAAAATCATATTCAAACATTAAACTGTAATTCATGAAATTGTATAAATTAAAATCTTACTTGAAAATTGTACATCAATTAAAATGAATTGTGATATGATTGTTAAGTGCTTCCATCCTTCATTTAAAATCTCTGTCATCCTATTGTCTATAATTGGTAATGGTAGTAGTAATTTCGTTTCTAATGTAATTGTCACTGAGATCTGACTACTAATATTAGAGGTTACGGTGGAATTTCGAAGATTAGTGGTATTATTATTATTATCATGCATACTTTGCATTGTTACAGGAATTTTAGTGAATTTAATGTTAAGAATCTTGAGAGATAAAGTAAATTGTAAATCTAATATTTCCATTACATTGTTGATCTATAACGTAACAAACAAAAGAAAAAAAGAAAGAAATTATCAGAATATGTGCTTTGTGGAGATTGCAGTAATTGAACAGTCAAAGTGATTAGTCGATTAAAGCTAGATGACCATGGAAAACATTTAAGAACTGGACACGGTTCGAATCCTGTGGGCAAGATCATGGTTGCACAATGCTGAGGAGCCGCATACCAGGACGAAACGGCCATCCAGTGCTTCTAGGTTTTCAGTAGTGATCTAGATTTAATCAACTTATGAATTCAACTATGAAAGAAATTACTTTGATTTAATTCATATTCAAACTGTGTTTGAATAGACTTCGGTAGCAGGACAATAACCTCATAATAGAAACATAAAAATAGAAATTGATTAAGGATAAGTCTTATCATCAAAAATTAGGAATTGTAATCCCTTACACGTATGTTTAGTTTATTGATCATACTTCCCATTAAGACACAATTATTCACCGTCCTAAATTTGGATAATATAACAAAAAGACGAAGTTTACCAGGTCTATGCTTGACGTATATCAGCACAATACAAATAATCTAGTTATACATATATACTTGTCAAGATAATCTTAGATGCAAAATTACAGGTCAACTATACAACATAGGTTAGAAGAAACAAAGTGATTCACATAACAAAGTGATTTCGAATACATAAGGGTGATTTGAAATTTCGTTTAGTCGAGGCATCAATAAACCACATATGCAACACTAGGATGGTTGATCTGATATAAACCACCCATGGACCACTGTAACTGTTTATAAATGATCTAAGAAACTTGTCTCTCCTATGTTTTTATTTGACCATTGGAATTCATTTGTTTCTGTAACCACTTCGATATGAATTCAGTCACTATTAATTTGAGATCACGATTATTTCTCTCCTGTAAGTATATATGCACATATTAACCGATGAACAAAGTAGGATTTAATACACTTGTTTACATGATGTTTAGGATTTTGTTGGAACCCTGATCCACAATTTTCGATGAGGATGAGTTGGTCTGAGTTAAAACGCCTACTAATCTCTAGTTTAATTCTTCATTTAAAAACATGACCACTTCAATCACCTCTAAATAGGATAATCTGGCCCCCTTTAGTTCAATCCCAAAATGTAATAAGTGTCATCATACTGTGGCATATCTATCGGCTGATAAACATCATTATCTTTGTTATCTCTCGTCTCCTAATTTCTATAGTTAACCTATTATTTTGCATCTGAGTGTCTCAGCAAATCTGTATATAAATATGATCAAATTGTTCATAGTGTATTGAGCTAATATACATCAGGTATAGTTATGGTAAACTTCATCTCATTGATTTATCCAAATGATCTCAAAATTTTGTATATAACCAACGACACTTCGTCCATCCACTAACCCAATATATATATCATAATTGTAAGGATGAGACCTGTATATTAGGATTTTTCATTTGTTGCTTATATGAAATAATGGAAATTCGATATATGAGACATCTCTCAATGATTTGTCCAGATTTTAATCAATGTTCTCTTTTTCAATTATTACCAGTTTAATAATAAAAGAAAGCGATTTTACGGTTGAATTCATGAGTCAATTGAAGCTAGACCACCATGGAAGACCTGGAAGCACTGGATGGCAGTTTCGACCTACTATGAGCCATAAATTACTTCGAAAACTTACATACTAGGAGGAAACAACTGTCCAGTGCTTCCAGATGTTCAATAATGATGATCTAACATCAATCTTTTACAGATCTATTGTAAATATCACAAAAATACATCAATTATATTCTATAAGAAATTAACATACTTGATTTTGTATATCTAATGAAAAATTTTGATAAACTTCACTTGAATTATCAATTAAATCATCTAACCATTCCATTGGTTGAAATGATTTTGAAAAATAAATTATTCCACTGATTTGACATAGAATTGGATCTGTAAATTCAATTGAAGTATTTTATAATCAAATAGAAATAAACAGGTCAGTTTGATTATATTCAATATAATGGTAGATAAACATTCATGTTTGAGTGAGATTAGAGTTTATGGATGTTAGGTCCCGATAAACATAATGAATGGTAACTTTGGGATCCTTTCATGGACCAATACTAAACGTATATTTTTATCGTATAATTGTTAAATAACTCAACTATTCATATTCATATTCCTCTTATTATAAGCTTTATTTTGACCTGTGAACCATTATTATACGTTTTACCATTCTTGAATTATGCCCTGTCTATTATTAGTCACTGTCTCCCACATTCACATCCCCATTTGGCCAAATCTTGTACAAATGTTGTTTCCTATTTTATGTCACCTTGTGGTCTGTTTGGTTGGTATATAAACTGAGTATGTTTAAAATATAGGGATTCATATAGCAGAGGCTGAGATTGGTGTTCTGGACTTAACTGGCATGGCGAGGTGGAAAGCAGGACAAATCAGGAATCTAGGCTGCTCTCACGTGTTTCATGTGTCCTTGGTCCGATAGATAATTCGCTGCTTCTGATTGGCGGCTTTGAGCTGTAATAACGGAGGACCTTTGTGTGATTTTAAAATACGTTGACAATCTCAATCTACTTACTAGGACTAAATCAGGGTTCTAAAGCAGTTTCAAGATTAAGGATTATGATTAATAGTTGAGGGTTATGGTTAAGTGTTAGATTTAGGTTTTTCATCAGGAACGGACATCATCTAACATGTTAAAACGCTATTTAGTCAAATGAATGAATGAATTTGGCGCCAAAATCTTTGATCTATCTTAAATCTGATTGGCTCTTGCATAAATTAGTCTTACAAAATTTTCACGAAATAGGAGTTTTACAATTAATAGATAACAATTAACTCCCTGTTAATTACATAATCATTTTACAGAAAATTCTACAAAGTACTTCATCGATGTTTTTGAATGAATGCATATCATTAAGGTTAACATATAAATATACTCGTTCTAGTAAGCTAAAACAATTAGGTTCACAAATTGAATTACATTATATGTAGGCATCTCCAATTGTCATATCTCCGAAATTCCCAGATTTCACAAAATTGTTTATTTCAGTAGACACATTAGAGATACTTTCATTGACTAGACCAGTAATATTGAGGGATATAGTTCTTTGTAATTTCCAAAATGCCCCACTTATTATGCAAATTATGTTAAATGTTTAAGCTATTCATTAAGCTTCAGTATTGTTTGATAAATATTTATTGACCTTATCCTTCATACTTTTGAATCGTTGATCATGAACATATACAAATATATCTTATGAACCTTCAATGTTACTCATGATTGATTCATATCGTAAATTATGTTGAGACTACTCTATATAAATGTGCGCATACACTGAATACCTTTCAGGCATCTTGAGTTATGAAATAGAATTAGGATGGTTGTTGGAGGTAGTCAACAGGAAACCTTGGATATAGGTTTCGTGCTACTTGGCACTCGTCAGAAAGGTGTACCTGTAATCTTGAGGGAACTGATGCTCCCTGTCACCCAGTTACACAGTTACCACTGATCTATCCGGGCCGCGACTGACCTCCTTTAGGACTGAGATGTATTATCAATTGATTGATCACTGGGTGATGTACAGTCACCAAGGCTGGTGGCCACATTGCAACTTGGTCGATAGGATTCGATCTGCACTAAGAAGGACCTGGCATACATGACATTGATCGCAACCCAGTGATCAATCAATGGGAAATAGAATTAATTGTTTTCATGAATCAGAATAGAGATAAATAATCGTATTAAATTGTTCACGTCGTTCACATCGTGTAGATTATCATATTGTTCATATTTGGATTGAATTTTAATCAATAAACAGGATAATCTAAATCATGACAGGTGAAATCAAAATTCATAGTCAATATACAAGTAACCGGTTTTATGAACTCATTAGTGAACTGGATAGCATGTGATGTTTTTGATGAGAAAGCTACTAGGTACAAATCTTGTAGTAATTAACAAATCGAATACAGGTATATCCAGTTGATAAGAACAAATAACATGAAATATATATCTAAAATATAATTACTAGCCATATCGCATATTTCCTCTATTTTCAAATATGCTTGTTGAAATGAGTTAAAATAAACAATGACAAAAGTTTCATTTAAAGAATACTTGATGAAATTTAATTTCTTAGGTAATCATGATAATATTACTAATCCTATTCTATGATGTATCACTTACAATCAATTTGTGGTTTTGAAGTAGTTGTAGAGTGTATTCGTGTAAATTGATCATCAGTTCGATTATGAACTACTGGAATTGTTGAAGCAGGCAAAGTTATTTTAGATTGTGTGGTTAGTTCTTTATATTCAGATGAAGTAGATCTTTGTGTAGTCAGTGTTGTTGAACTAGAGGTTTCTGTAATGAAAGAATTATATATATATATATATATATATATATATATATATATATATATATATATATATATATATATATATATATATATATATATATATATATTATTATTATTATTATTATTATTATTATTATTATTATTAGACGAAGAATCTATTTTTCAATAAAACTAAAGATATTTCTGTTATGGACGTTAGATCCTCAGAAATCACTTAAGAAACCATCTAATTTTGTAATTTATTTACAACATTTGAATTTCTTTGTTTTCGCGCCAAAGGCGCTCTTGTCAGCTTCATGTCGTATTACCCACTGGGAAATATCTTCAATGCTATTGGTCCGTTGCGTCTTTTAGTATGCTACTTGGTAACTCTCCTCAAGGACAGTTTTGCACTGTATATATACGTTTTGAAATGTGTTTGTTGTGATCGTTCATTTCTGGCTCTTTACAGGATATAATTCCCCATTCCAAGCTTGGACGTCTCTGTCTAGTTAGCGGGGCTGGGACGCATCAATAGCTAGCTTACTGATCTTTGGTCAACGAGTCATAAGCTCGTTCGCCAAGTAAGTGGACTAGTGATAGCTTCAAACCTAGTAATTTCTCTCAAAGGGTATTACATGATGAATTGTTATATCATGGTTCGTTATTTATGATTGGTACATATATGATTTACATGAGCGTGCATCCATAAAAGTTACATATTCACATGAGATCATAAATAATACATCTATGAAATTTTATGTGGTCGCATTCACATGGCCACTGTAAACTGATGTTAATTTAAATATATGTCATTAATGGGCAGGATTGCATGTGAATGATGTTAATTCAACAGAGATAGAAAGTAGATTTGTCGGATATTAAGTAAGTTATCAGTTCGAATTAAAATCACAGAAAACAAAATCGCACAATGATAATAAATAACAAATAATCGAATTTCAAAAAACTAAAATTATCTTGTCGCCTTCAATTAAACCAGAGGCGAACAAGTAAACCAACAAGAAAAACACAATTGATCAAACGTAAATGATCATAAATGAATAAAGATGGATGAGATTGTCGCATAAGTCTAAAAGATAAAACAAAAAAACTCGTGTGAGCGAATGTAGGAAAAGATATGCACAGCACTTGATGTTGTGCAACATAATGTGAACCTACCGAAAGCAACTCCAGTAGTAGTTGATGACGGGCTGGTCATCAGCACAGTCGATCTTGCAGTCATCGTCTCCATCGACGTGGTCCTGATCGGCTGCCTCGATTCTGTCAACACAATTGTTTCTGTTTGTCCGAGACCGTCAGTCGACGTCACAGTGCTTGTTTGTGGACCTGTTGAGTTAAACGGAAAACACATGTAGTTGTATTCATCGTTCAGAAATATCTTCTTGTCAGCTTCCATACAGGACAACGGTGGTTGATATTTCGACCATCTAATTATTGTTATTCTACTAAAAAGATGTTATTTGTCCGACTCAACAAAACGTCAACTCATACACAACAACACTTCGAAAGCATAGTCTACACGTTTAGTTGAGATAGAGAAGACTGAGTCTTCATTGCAACTCTAAATTCCGGACAGAAGCCAAAACTTCAAATAAGACAACTACCTTTATATAGTGACACTCAGTGACCATAGCACGCATTGCGAAAATGACAACCACAATTCAGGCAGTAGCAAATGTCATTGAACAAGTGTGAATTCCAAGAATCTTATCTCAGTTATCCTTCAGTCGATAAACTAACATGCAACAACAATCACCCATACATACTCATCTCTCCTTAACACACCGATTCACTCTTCACAATTTAGAAAACCTGCACAAATCAATGCTACACAACACGGTCACATCACAGAAATGCTACACCGTACATTGCAAACAACAAACAATCGACATCATCAACATTACCACGATGCATGTGACCTGTGAAAGAAAACTGGAGAGTCTCACACCTCCCTATCCATCAGTAAGTCAGTCACTGACTCCACGTATACGTTTTCCATGGTGTATTGATCTCTCTGCTGGATGCTTCCACTACGGGTGTGCACATCCGAGATTGGGAACAATCGGGTGATAAACAATACTGTCAATGTTCTCCTATCTCAATGGCGCCACACTCAGTGTCTCGCCTAACTATCATCTCATCTCATCTCATCTCATCTCACATCACATCACATCATATCACATCACATCACATCATATCACAACATATCATTGGCAAAATGGGCAACAACAATTGACGACTTACGATATGCTGTGATGTTTCTCAAACTTGGTCCACTCTTGATATTGAGGAGTGTGCATCCACGAACCAGAGTCTCCGTGAGATCAGTCTCAGTTGGTTGTGATCCACGAGACAAATGCAACTGCACACTCACAATTGCTCGAACAGCTTCCATTGAGACACGATTGACACCCGCGTCTGTGTGAGCTTGGCCAACACCGTCAATCCAGATCATGAACCGAATGAACACAACACGGACACAAGTAGCACCTCGAGAGAACTCTTCATTACCCAGACGTAGTCCGCTCAATAGCTACAACGTGCAAAACAAAATCACACAGAATACACAATCAGTCGATTAGTCAGTCTCTCGATCCGTCGTTCGCTTGCTCATATATCAACACCACAACTACAATTTTCAATTAGACCGGTGTCGACCAGTGCTCATCATCGCCATCATCATTATAATGACCAAGTGCATGACCACCACTTCACAAATGGCCAATCACATACAATCACTGGCTTACTCACTCAACTAACCGACGCTCACACTACCAATGTGAACACCACACTCAATACACCAACTCATCACTACTCGCTTCAATCTCACACTTACATGACCACTAACTCATTACCTGCTCACCTACTTACTCACCCACCACCTACTACTAACTTCTTACCTACTCACTAACTCATTGCCTTCTCACAAACTTACGTTCTCACATACAAACACACACACACTTCCACGCCTACTTACTAACTCAGTCTGTACATTACACATTCATCAATTTAATTCAAACTATGCCCTCTCTCTCTCCTGGAGATTTCCACTCCTGTCATTTCACAGAACCATTTGTCCACTACACTAGTGTCATTCGAACAATTCACTCACTGCTTCTCTGATTATTGCATACCAGTACACTAAGAACACAATAACCATAACCAATGCACACCTACCAGGTCACAAATCGACATCGACAAATTTCTGTACATGACACTTGACTCATTCGACAGATCGGTTGACCAATTCATGGGCACTGACCGTTCTCCAATATAGATCACAATATCCACCTCGAACATGGAGATCTCTACAAGGAAAATTTAATTAGAGAAGTCTTAAATACCATAGCATGTAATTGGTAATGATAATAATAGTTTCATTGCAAGTTCCTGATATTTTGAAGGCACGCTCTCGGTGATACAGTGAGTAGGAATCGATGTTGTCAGTGATTTTTACTGGTGTGGTGTATTCACGACTAACTTTCGTTTGATTCACTTTTCATCATTCTGCGGAAGATGTCAGTAATGCTTACAAATAGAAGAAAAGATAAGTGCACACAAGAACGCACGGAATGACATTAATGAAGTGAATTGTAAGAGAGACTGCGATCTAGTCGAACACTGCACAATAACACATTTCATGTGAGCGTATGTAGGAAAAGATATGCACAGCACTTGATGTTGTGCAACATAATGTGAACCTACCGAAAGCAACTCCAGTAGTAGTTGATGACGGGCTGGTCATCAGCACAGTCGATCTTGTAGTCATCGTCTCCATCGACGTGGTCCTGATCGGCTGCCTCGATTCTGTCAACACAATTGTTTCTGTTTGTCCGAGACCGTCAGTCGACGTCACAGTGCTTGTTCGTGGACCTGTTGAGTTAAACGGAAAACACATGTAGTTGTATTCATCGTTCAGAAATATCTTCTTGTCAGCTTCCATACAGGACAACGGTGGTTGATATTTCGACCATCTAATTATTGTTATTCTACTAAAAAGATGTTGTTTGTCCGACTCAACAAAACGTCAACTCATACACAACAACACTTCGAAAGCATAGTCTACACGTTTAGTTGAGATAGAGAAGACTGAGTCTTCATTGCAACTCTAAATTCCGGACAGAAGCCAAAACTTCAAATAAGACAACTACCTTTATATAGTGACACTCAGTGACCATAGCACGCATTGCGAAAATGACAACCACAATTCAGGCAGTAGCAAATGTCATTGAACAAGTGTGAATTCCAAGAATCTTATCTCAGTTATCCTTCAGTCGATAAACTAACATGCAACAACAATCACCCATACATACTCATCTCTCCTTAACACACCGATTCACTCTTCACAATTTAGAAAACCTGCACAAATCAATGCTACACAACACGGTCACATCACAGAAATGCTACACCGTACATTGCAAACAACAAACAATCGACATCATCAACATTACCACGATGCATGTGACCTGTGAAAGAAAACTGGAGAGTCTCACACCTCCCTATCCATCAGTAAGTCAGTCACTGACTCCACGTATACGTTTTCCATGGTGTATTGATCTCTCTGCTGGATGCTTCCACTACGGGTGTGCACATCCGAGATTGGGAACAATCGGGTGATAAACAATACTGTCAATGTTCTCCTATCTCAATGGCGCCACACTCAGTGTCTCGCCTAACTATCATCTCATCTCATCTCATCTCATCTCACATCACATCACATCATATCACATCACATCACATCATATCACAACATATCATTGGCAAAATGGGCAACAACAATTGACGACTTACGATATGCTGTGATGTTTCTCAAACTTGGTCCACTCTTGATATTGAGGAGTGTGCATCCACGAACCAGAGTCTCCGTCAGATCAGTCTCAGTTGGTTGTGATCCACGAGACAAATGCAACTGCACACTCACAATTGCTCGAACAGCTTCCATTGAGACACGATTGACACCCGCGTCTGTGTGAGCTTGGCCAACAACGTCAATCCAGATCATGAACCGAATGAACACAACACGGACACAAGTAGCACCTCGAGAGAACTCTTCATTACCCAGACGTAGTCCGCTCAATAGCTACAACGTGCAAAACAAAATCACACAGAATACACAATCAGTCGATTAGTCAGTCTCTCGATCCGTCGTTCGCTTGCTCATATATCAACACCACAACTACAATTTTCAATTAGACCGGTGTCGACCAGTGCTCATCATCGCCATCATCATTATAATGACCAAGTGCATGACCACCACTTCACAAATGGCCAATCACATACAATCACTGGCTTACTCACTCAACTAACCGACGCTCACACTACCAATGTGAACACCACACTCAATACACCAACTCATCACTACTCGCTTCAATCTCACACTTACATGACCACTAACTCATTACCTGCTCACCTACTTACTCACCCACCACCTACTACTAACTTCTTACCTACTCACTAACTCATTGCCTTCTCACAAACGTCCGTTCTCACACACACACACACACACACACTTCCACGCCTACTTACTAGCTCAGTCTGCACATTACACATTCATCAATTCGATTCAAACTATGCCCTCTCTCTCTCTCTCTCTTTCTTGGAGATTTTCACTCCTGTCATTTCACAGAACCATTTGTCCACTACACTAGTGTCATTCGAACAATTCACTCACTGCTTCTCTGATTATTGCATACCAGTACACTAAGAACACAATAACCATAACCAATGCACACCTACCAGGTCACAAATCGACATCGACAAATTTCTGTACATGACACTTGACTCATTCGACAGATCGGTTGACCAATTCATGGGCACTGACCGTTCTCCAATATAGATCACAATATCCACCTCGAACATGGAGATCTCTACAAGGAAAATTTAATTAGAGAAGTCTTAAATACCATAGCATGTAATTGGTAATGATAATAATAGTTTCATTGCAAGTTCCTGATATTTTGAAGGCACGCTCTCGGTGATACAGTGAGTAGGAATCGATGTTGTCAATGATTTTTACTGGTGTGGTGTATTCACGACTAACTTTCGTTTGATTCACTTTTCATCATTCTGCGGAAGATGTCAGTAATGCTTACAAATAGAAGAAAAGATAAGTGCACACAAGAACGCACGGAATGACATTAATGAAGTGAATTGTAAGAGAGACTGCGATCTAGTCGAACACTGCACAATAACACATTTCATGTGAGCGTATGTAGGAAAAGA